ATATATGGACGTATGGTAGCTTAGAATCTTGCATCACCAATGATGCATGCACGTAATAACATAATAGTCGAATCCATTCAAGAACGAAAAATAAAAAAATAAAAAATTCAAAGATTCCTTAATTATTATTATTATATACATGCGGGGGTTTAATTTTAATGGTTTTTAACATCATTGTTTATATGTCGTCACTCCATTAATCTTTAATGAGTATATTAAATGAATTTAATTAGTGAGCAATTGTAATTCAAACATCAATTATTCCGAAGTGCGCTACTGCTATATATCTATGTAGTTAAGTTGTGGGATTATGATCTGAAGGGTTAAAGAATTGAAACTGTCACGTCATAATTTAAAAATTTATTGATAGGATTATAGGACAGCTAGCTCGATCATCTTGTATACCATATGATTATAGTTTCTCTCCAACAATCACATATGTTCCGGTTAAGTCATGGATGGACAAGTCAATTGTGCAACCACTTCACCAAGCCATTGCATCAGTAGTCAACAATGTCATGATTGACTTGAGTAACCATGATGTCAGCAACTATTGGTTCAATTGTTTGTGTTATTCAGAGACCCAATTACAATTGAGAGAACAATTTGATATCACTAGACCATAAGGTTATTGGCTTATTATTTTATCAGAATAAAAACCAATTCCCCACACGTGACGCCCATAGATTTGTGATTTTGTGTCGATGCATTATTAGAGCATGCGAGGCATGGCATAGAAAGAAACGCGTGAGATTCCGTAACAAAAGACCAAAAATGGGTAGTACTGTTTTGTCAACATCGATCATATGAAGAGAATTTGGTGCGTTCACCGGTGGTAGTGTACAAACAATAACACAATGCGTTTGCATATAACACCAAAATAATTTATCATTATACTTTATTAGAGAAAATGTGGACAATTGCATTATTGCATGATTTCGACATCTTTTGTCCTCACTTGCCTCTTCTTACAACCATGATTATTATTTATCATTTTCTTTCTTAATTTTTTTTGAATTTTTCTTTAAGAATAATTCATTATCACTTGACAATTGACAATTTAACCGTATCTACTATCTAGTACAAGTATATTAGAAGGCAGCATGGCCACCTCCTTCATCGTGGAGCAAAAGAGGGCGGCCATAGTTGCTTTCTTCTATTCTAAGACGAATATGGCTATTGGCTACTTTCTTTAGCTTTGAGAGGAGGGCAACCAACGATTGCTTTCTTCACCCGAGACTTGAAAGTTCAAATTTAGACATTTGAGTCTCAAACAATCATAGTTGTCTATAGTTGTCAGATTGGTCAGTGACTTTTATTTCAAGATTTTTTGTTGTTTTTAAACTTTTAAAAAAAAAATTTGTAAAAATGGTTACCAAGCCAGTACCTCACGTGAAAAAAGGATACGTTAAAGGTCTTGTTAGCGTCAAATCATCGGTAACGTGATAAATATGTAAATAAGACATAATTATACTAATTTTTGTTGGTTTTTTTGGTACTTGATTTGAGTTTTGTTAGTTAAAAATTTTAATTGCACTATTCGCTTAGACTTGAGATGCCAATTTGATACATTTTGTACTTATGCAATCTAAAATTGTATAAATTATACTCGGTGTAAAAAATAGTGAAGTGTGTACTTTCCTTAAAATTTTAGTTACATAATAATATAGGCATATATTTGAGAGAGTGCCACGTGGACGCGGCAGACATTCCCACAAAAAATATATATATATAGGAAGTATCTGATGAACGGAAGACCCCAAGAACCAACCAAAAACAGATTCTTCTTATACAAAGCTCTTCACTTTCTCTTCATTACGGCTGTTGCTCCTCTGTCTCTCTCTCTCTCTCTCTCTCTCTCATGCTCTTTCAACGCCTATAAAAGGCCCTTTGCTCCATTACACACACTCTCCTTCATATCTCTCTCGCCCGCACTTACACAGAAACAAAGAAATGTATGCTGACAATGGGCTGTTTTTTCCCTACTACCACAACTTGCATCAAGAAGCACAAATGTTTGAAGAGTTCTGTTGCTCTCAGAGACCCAATGTTTCTATGATGGTGAATCTTTCTTCATTTTTTGGGAATTTCTTTTATTATGTTTCTTTTATTGTCTTATCAGCATTTCTGAGAGTATTTTGAGTTTGGGTTTTGAATGGTGGACTGTAAAGTTTCTATCTTTTTCACATTATTATGTTAATATCTCAAATTTGAGGGGTTTATCAATTTCTTCCTCCTTGGTTTGACTAGGGCAAGGGAGAGGAAGAAAATATGAATTGTGTAGTTTAAAAGATTGCATTTATTGTTTCTGAAAATACTGCATATTATATTGTATTCTGCTTAAAATCGACTGTATATACACACATAAGTTCCTTTACCTGTTAGGTCTACTTGTATAAGTATATTACTGTCACAATCATGAATTCTGTATGGCCTCTTCTCTTTTGCAAGTTTTCCAGCAAAGAAGGCAGATGTGGCCATGGCTTTTTTCTTTTCTTTTTTTTCTTTATTTGATTTTTTCAACACAAAGAAACAGATTAAAGGTTAAAGAAAAAAAGCTAACAAAAAGATGACCATTTAGTGGGTATGGGTAGGAGGAGTTCCTGTCAGTGAGATGCAGATTTTGAAAAAGGTGTTTCTTTTAACAAAGTTGCAGATTGTCTCTTGGTAGCTCTGTGAATCCAGGGTGGAGTGGACACTTTCCTAATCTAAGGGCAGATTTTAGTGCTTAATAAAAGGGAAAGGAGATGTACCCAAACTTACCTAGCTAGATTGGGAGTATGTCTTAGTTGATTTTAGTGCTAAACACTATTGGGCGGTGGCTTGGAGAGCCGAGTCCAGCATCTAGCCATCGAAATGTGGCGCTAACTGCTACGCAAGTATAACGAAATATAAAGTTGCTAGCTATATAGTAATAAGCGTTTGGTCCTAACAGTTGGTATCAGAGTGGGTCACGGGTTCGAAAGCATGCTGAAAGTTTCTACTTACCTTCAGTGCCTTGAAAGTTTTCTATTTGGTTTTAACTCGGGGTATTTCAACTTGATGCATATTTAGATTGTAATCCCGTTATTATTTATCCCCAGAGTTTATCTTTATAAGAACATAGATACTGATGTTTGTTTCATAATAACTGCTGATCTGCATTCATTCTAGTTTCGAATCCTAATATGGGACATCCTTTTACAGACATCTGCTGTATGTGAATATGACCTTGGAGGAGAAGGGGACCTCTTCAAGGCTCCGGAACCCATTATTGAGGAACCATTTGTGGATCTTGATCCAATAGCCGCTGCCATGCCAATGATTTCTTGTGCTGAAGATGATGTCATCTCCTCCCAAGTGCTAAAGGTTTCGGATATCGAATCATCGTTTGAGAAGGAACAGCTCCTTAGTGATGTTTTCTATGGATGCAAAAGCGATCTTTTGTCGAAAGGAGTAGAAACACCACCGCCTTCTGATGATGTCCTGGATGCCAAGTTCCCGATTGCCAAGATTAGTGAAGAAATGGCAGCAGAGAAACGTTTCGTGTCTCAGGGATCGTTCCAGAAAAGCGTTAGTTCAGAGTCTCTAAGCTCCATGGAATTGGTGCAAGGGGCTCCATTGAGGCCAAATTTTCTCGATTTTTCTGGAATGGACTTTAGTGCTGCTGCTTATGGGATGAGACGATCATTCAGCGAAGGGGACATAAAGGTATAGTTTAATTCCCCTCATACACCCTTTCTTGTTCGTGTCATAATGTCATATAAGTTTGATTAATGTTCTGTGTCTCAACTGAAAACCTCGAGTTTATTGTTATGGCAGACTCTTGGGCATGGCAGTGTAAGCCTCACACAACAGATTATCGGTAGTTCCATTTCTGAGGATCGGAAGGAGAAGCTTTCGAGATACAGAAACAAGAGGACTAAGAGGAATTTTGGCAGGAAGATCAAGGTAACTTCGAGGACGCTTTTTGTTTCTACTAGATTGGCTCGAGTTTTAGCTCGGAGGCACTTCACTCATATTTTCCACTCTCCCCAGTATGCTTGCAGGAAGGCGTTGGCCGACAGCCAACCAAGGATCCGAGGAAGATTCGCGAAAACAGAAGAAATAGATGCATCCAAGAAGCACTTGCAGCTGGTTAACTCTCTATTAGCAAGAAGAATGTAGAAAGGCAATAGTTTAGGCAGGATATATCTATCTATCTATCTATATATATATGGTCAATAATCTCCAAGTTTGTTCTTAGTGTTGCAATAATCTGCATTGTGGATCAGTAAGTAAACCAACTAGAGCTGTATATATAGTGTTTGTTGAATAAAAATAATATGTTGTTTCTTTTTTAAAAACTTTACCTCCCCACCCCCTCCCCCGGGAGCTAGTAAACGCGCAATCATGCTCCCGGGACATAATTCAGTTGGTTGACTAGTAAAGCTCCGGAGTCCAACAGGATAGTGAAGAGATAATTTATGGTGACTCAGCCACTCATTAGGTGGAGAACCAATATCTGGTACCTACAAGAAACCCACCACGTGAATTTGTCCAGTTTTTTTGCCCAAAAAAGGTGAAATTTTCTCATTCCTGTTGAGCACATGCTTCAATTTGGTATCAGAGCCAGATCAAAGGTTATGGGTTTGAATCTCTACATCACCGGATAAGCGCGACTACGGTCCACGTGTTGCTTGAAACCACAGCTTAGGCTTAACTCTACATTGCGGCTGCTAGGACACGATCATGTTGTCTTTGCCTACAATCTATTCCTAAGAACTAACTGAGTTGCCCGTACTGGCCAGATATCAATCTTTACGCACTCCACCTTGCCTAACTGGTTTGAGAATCAACAGCAGGTAAACTACTCCGTATTATATATTAAGGTAAAAGATATGGTACACAGATTTGATTAACAAACTAAAATCCATGACTACACGCATCTTCAATACAGTTCACGTGCTATTAGATTATTATACTAATGATCTGTAATTTGCTCTTATTGAGTACACAAAATTGATGAATAAGAACACCAGACTGAAAGTTGAGATTCAGACAAAACTGGAATAAGTTTGGGGTGAACTGATAATCAAGAAAGCTGAACAAAACCCAGAAATGTGGAAGTCTATTTTGGGGAGAGATGATAATGGAAGTCAGCTGGAAGCTAACAACATTTTGGAGGATGAAGAAGGCTTCTGCTCCTTCTCCCCTCTCCAAGTATCATAAGCTCCTAATTCTTGTAAAAGATTCAATCTTTCATGAAATCCAATGTTAATTTCTTACTATATTCTTTGGGTTTTGGTTGATCAGAGGATCTATGCTTTCTCTGCTTGCTTGGGTGCTGGCATAGTATGTATGTTCTTGGTATGACACTATGACCAATTCAATTCGATCGCCTTCTGTCCATAAGATGTTTCTTTTCTCAGTTTTTCTCACTTTAACCTTAACGCTTTCTTGTATGGTATGTAGTCATATGTTGCTTTTGCCAGACCTATCAGGTTTGCTCTTTTGTTTTCCTTTGGCAACATTTTAGCTGTTGGAAGGTATGCTACATAACAGTCCCAATTATGTACATTCTTGATTCACTCATCTCTGTCAAAAGTTATTATTCTCAGTGTTCTAAATGTTGTAATCTCATGGCAGCACAACCTTTCTTGTTGGACCGCGCAAGCAAATAAAGATGATGTTTGATCCGGTTCGCGTTTTTGCCACAGTAGCTTATGTTATCTGTGTCATATTTGCTCTTGTTTGTGCACTCTGGGTAAGTATCCTAGCTATATTTGATTAAAATGAAGAGTATAAGTGTTCATCATTGTTTAAAAAAACTCCATTGTTGCAGATGCATAGTGTAATCTTATCAATAGTTGCAGTCATATTTGAGATTCTTGCCCTTCTATGGTGAGTTGTTTCTGTTATTTTGATACTATTTTTTTAAATGACGAGAAAAACTGACAGCCACTATTCGAGAGTGTGTATTGAATAAATTCGCCTTGTGATATAGTATGTAAAAGAACAACTAAACTAGGTTATCTATAGCGGCATGCTCGAGCCAAGAAGGTCTATAGGTTACCTATAGTCTGACCAACTTGGAACGACTACAAGAAACCGAGGAAAGCCTCACCAAACGTGAGCTTCAATTCATGTTTATTTTGTTGGTTTCTCATTGTCTGTTGTTTGTTTCTTTAATTTTCAGGTATGGTCTGAGTTACATACCTTTTGCTCGTGGAATGGTTTCGAATATGATAAGGCGTGTTTTCAACAGAGAATCTTGATGAATTTTTCCATTGAAAGTGGCATTAGAGCATTTTCAACCGATTTAACACCAAAATACTACAAATCTCCACCAAATGTTACATCAAAAAAAAAATATTATCAGTATATTTTTACACCAAATTTTATTCATATACAACACATTCTTCTTCTGTCATCAAATTGCATTGTGTTTATTAATTATATCCAGCTTTTGTGGAAGCCTGCAGCCATTATATTGTTCAAGAACCAAGCCTGCGGGTTGATCTCTATGAACATTTCTCCATTTTTGGGTTGGTGCATTATAGGTGGAAACAATCCAACGTTGGATTGTATCCATTGTCCCAAATTCTAAAGATATGATCGATCATAGGGATTACAGGAAGTAGATTTTGGTTTCGCCGTTCCTTTGGAACAGAACAGTGACACGGTCGCCGGTGGGCGGTCAAAATACCGTAGAACCTGACACCAACTCAATACGCGTCCCCTAATCAAACTGCACAATCATTTAACTTTAACTTTGACCAAGTAAACGCTTACATTCAACTGTACGTCACTAAGTCGGTGAATGAGAACATAATTGTCATACTTATTTCTCATAAAAAACAAAATACCAAGAGAAACATAGAAAATGTTTTCTTCATTTGAGTAAAATGTTTTCAATGAACCAAACAAATGAAAAAATAATTTTTCTCAAACTCAAGGGCAAACATTTTTCAGTAAACTAAACATGCCCTAAAATTATTACATTTTCTTTGACTTGACCTGTCTCATAGATAATGATCCTGAGATGATCTCACATAATTTTTTGTCAAACATAGCGTTTATTTATTTATTGAATGTTTATTTTTATATATTTTTTTAACTATTTGATGGGTGCACTAAGGGCATCCTCATTAGGCATAGTTTTTGAAGAATTTTCACAAAATTGACTAGGAGAGAGAAGGGAAAAAAGAAAAAAAAATAGCAAAGGAAATAACTCGTCCAGCGGGCAAGTGGTGTGCACGCGCCCGGTTGGACGCCTTAGTTGTTCCTCAAGCAGATTAGCCGGATCTTTTTCATATTTGGTAGGGCCCACTTTAAAATAAAAAAACCAGGGTTCTTGCCGGAGAACCTCAAGCATTATCTCTCATATTTCTCTCTCTTTCACCTATGCTTGGCCCCCCACAAAAAAACCATCTAAAACCATCTATTGGAAATGCTATTATTATGTAATAGCTTGCAAATTACATAGATAAGATAAATCACACTAATAAGATCTTGTATGATAATTTATACTGTATAGTGTTGACAAAAATTAAATTTATAACCACTAATTTTTTTTTTGTTTGTAGACTTATTTTTAAATTTTTGAGATTTATAGAGCGAGTGTTTTTGTATGACCAGTCCACCATTGGTAACCCAATATTTTATTAATTCAATAGATTAGGCCGTCCTCATTCCTGAAAGAGGACCTCTTGCAAGATGATACGTAGGATGATGTGAATTTTTTATTTTAATTTTGTTTTAATTTTTTATTCTATGTGGCTTGAAAGCTTGCTATTTTTAGCCGCTTTCAAGCCAGCACATGACAGCCTTTTGACTATTTTTTTTTACTTTTTGTTATTTTAATATTATTTTATTATTATATTTATAATATAATATGAAAGTGAGATCACTTTTGAAAATGTGAATTTTTTATTTTAATTTTGTTTTAATTTTTTATTCTATGTGGCTTGAAAGCTTGCTATTTTTAGCCTTTCAAGCTAGCACATGACAGCCTTTTGACTATTTTTTTTACTTTTTGTTATTTTAATATTATTTTATTATTATATTTATAATATAATATGAAAGTGAGATCACTTTTGAAAATGTGAATTTTTTATTTTAATTTTGTTTTAATTTTTTATTCTATGTGTCTTGAAAGCTTGCTATTTTTAGCCTTTCATGCCAGCACATGACAGCCTTTTGACTATTTTTTTTACTTTTTGTTATTTTAATATTATTTTATTATTATATTTATAATATAATATGAAAGTGAGATCACTTTTGAAAGTGAAAGAGTATAGGGATTTATTATATTTATAATATAATATTATAGGAATTCTTCCAAAAGGCTGAACCCAACTCTAAGGGCTCCCACACCTCGACCCGACAGAGCATTTGGGAGAATGTAAATCATGGTAACTCAATTGAACATGAACTACAGAGGCTAGACCGATGCTCACTGCGCACAAGGAACCCCTCTCACTTTGAGAGGTTGCTCCCACATTGCCGCCGGTGAGACTCGATCCCTGGTCCTTCTTCCAAAGTTTCACCAATATGACCAGTTAATGCAAAAAAAAAAAAAAAAAACAAAAAAAAAAAAACTGATAGCCTTTACTAATAGATAGATATGTGATATGTTGTCTTAGTCAACATCATTCATAATCACCCTCCTCTTGCCAAGTTGCCAATAATTGGTCAAAGTTCAAACTATCATCAACCTTTGATAAATCTCTCAATTCCTCTGCAGGAACCATCGCATGAAACAACAATCACATCTCTCAATATAAACAAATCATATCCCAGATTTCATATATTCCAGAAAATGTCGTCGCCAAAGCTTTTCTTTGCGGCCATCTTCCTGCTAGCACTGTTCTGTCCTAAAACCGCCTCCAGAACCTTAAGCAATCCGCCCTGTGCTCCATCTTCTTGCGGCGATCTTCGTAACATAAGCTTCCCGTTTCGACTCAACACCGATCCCCAGAGCTGCGGCGAATCCGGCGATTCGAAATTCGTACTGGAATGTCAGAACAATCAGGCCACCTTAATGTTGACCGACAAGAATTACAATGTTCTTGCAATCAATTACACCGATTACACGATCAGATTGGTGGATCCCGGCTCACAAGATCAAGTTAATCACCATAACTGTACTTCTTTACCCAAATACTCCGACACCAGTTATTATTATGCTACTTTGGGGACGTTCAGCGTCACCGGAGCTACCATTCCGATCATCTACGTCGCCTGTTCGTCATCCCTGAGTTCTCTGGAGAAATACGTTCCCACCAGTTTCTGTGCGAAGCCCAGAAACAATAGCTACGTTACGATCGGAGACAGCTTGTCGGAACAGGAAGTGGCGGAGGGTTGCAGCGTTGAAATGGTGGGTTGGGGCTCCGTTCACGGGCTGTCGCCGGCGGGAAACACTTCCCTGTCCAGCATCCACGCCGCCATTAGTTACGGCTTCGAGGTTTCGTGGATGCGTCCATATTTGTGTAGAGATTGTGAGCGGAGTGGAGGGCAATGCTTCTTTGATGATCCTCTCAATCCTAGCAGCGATGGCGTGATTTGTAGCCACCGCTGTTACGATGATGCCCCAATCGATCTCCCTCTTCCTTGTGAGTACAATTCTGCATTTTCTTTGAAAACTTTCCATTTTTTCCAATCATTTCTCGGGTTTTCTGACGCCTGTTCTTCTTTGCTATTGCAGGCAGCATCCATTTCTATGGAGGTATGTGTTAAATGTCCATGTTTCTCTGCTAACTATTTTCTGTAATTGAATGAAATGTGTATTTCAGACTTGAAGCATGTGCTTCATCTCAACTAAAAGGTTAAGCTGATAATTGAATCGCACATTAATGGTTATATGTTCAACACTGACAATCTTATTTTCCCCTCTCTTTGCCTGTATTTTGACAGCTCTGGTGGTAATATATGGCTTACTGGCAATAGGTAATGACTCAGAACATACTCTCAAACTCTCATTTTTACTTCTTTTTCTTTTTTTTTTTGAGTGAAGAAAATCCACAGCCACTAATGAAGGTGTATATTGGTAAATTCGACCTTGTAACTTTAGTGAACAGGCTAAGTTGCATATAGACTGGTTCAAATTTATAAGGCTAATAGAATAATAGACCGCTCTCATTAAAAGTTGAACTTGTAACTTTGTGATTATTAATTGGTCAAACTCTCATTTGATCATAGTGAAGAATGTTATCTGGTTTTGGCAGTTTTGGTTATTGACTTTACTTTGTTTATCATTTTTGTTGAAATTACAGCATCAATTCTGGCAGTCAGACTTCTGTTTGGGATCATATTTTTGATGGTATCGGTCACATATCAGTGGAGGAGGCGCCACTTATCTGCAGACAACACGGCAACACCATTGAAATAAAGAAGCATTGAGACCGTATCAGGAATGTAAATGTTTATGTTTATTCATGAATAGGTGGGGTCATGTTGTAAATGTAATGTTTATGTTAAAAAATATTATTTATAAGGAAAAGTGAAATATTTTTGTGAAGAAATTCAATACTTTTAAATCAAAATGTAATATTTAGATGTTGAATAATTACGTATAAGAAAAAGTGTAATACTAATCATGGATAAATTGATTGATTGTTACTCATGAAATAAAATGTAATACTTATGATAAAAATTGTAATATTTTTAAATCAAAATGTAATATTAGGGATCGAAGAGTTAGTTATGAGAGGAATTGTAATATTTATGAGGAAAAGTGTAATACTTTTGAGAGTAACTTACAATTTTGGTCCTATGACTATTGGGGTCTTGTTAATTACAATCAACGACTTTAAAAACGGTTAATTTAGTACATTAACTATTCAATTTCTATCAATTTTGGCCATTCTGGCCAAATTACCAACCAAATCTCACCGAAAAATATTAATAGGTAAATAATGAGGGTATTTTAGCAATTTTACTTCTCTTTTCTTTCTTCTCCGACGAGTCCATCTCAACTACCATGTTTCCGGCGGCGTCAACCTTGTTCCTTTGTTTCTCAGCTGCGTCTTCTTCGATGAGGGCCTTTGTTAAGCTAGTATAAGCTCTTGGCAATAAATATTGAAAAATTAGCATAAAAATACCGAAAAGTGACAAAATGGAGGAAGCTCGCGGGAAAAACAACGAGGAGGTGAAATAGCAATGGAGACGACGCCACTGTACTCCTTGTGTTCCGTCTATTGGCAACCGGCGAGCAGCTCCCTCTAACAGCTTGTCGCCAAGGCACTCGAACTCGATCATTTCTTTCGTCGTTTCTTTTTTAACAAAGCGATTACCCAACGACGACGGCGTCGGCGACGAACACGAACCATTCAGCGGCGGATACTCTCCGGGGAAGTTGAGAACCGCGAACTTGCCGCCTCCTCCGCCGTGTTATACGTTCGGTGATAAGAACTCAGCTGAGACGCAGCAAAAGCCATGAAATAGAGCATACTTATCCATTATGGAAGAAAAGGCGGCTTCGTTTTTTTTTTTTTTTTTTTTTTTTTTGTGTGGCTTTTGACGCCTTCGGCAAAACTCTCTCCCATGACCTCCGGCGAAACTCTCTCCTGGTCGTTGAGATGGACGGAGAAGAAAGAAAAGAGAAGTAAAATGACCTAAATACTCTCATTATTTTACCTATTAATATTTTTTTAAGTCACCAAAATTAATAAAAATTGAATAGTTAAGGTACTAAATTAACATGTTTTAAAGTCGTAGATTACAATTAATAAGACTCCAACAGTTATAGGACCAAAATTACAATTTACTCTACTTTTGAACTCATAGGAGATTTTGTTTATGAAGATATATTTATACTAGTACTAGTCTAAGTGCATATTTAATTTTGTGGAACAAATAGCTCATTCAAATCCTTCCTAAATTCAATTTTTTTTAAATAAAAAACTTCATGAGTACACTTTATTAATTATTTTTTTATTCTTTCATTGTCCGTTTTATATATTATATCTCCTCAATTAAAATAATCTAAGTTCACTTTGAATCGGCTCAAATGTTATAAACTCCCCTTAAAATAATATTTCAAAAGAGTAAATACCTAAAATGGTCCTTCGACTATAGCTAAATTTACAAATTGTTCTTCAACTTTCAATTTCAACCAATTAAGTTCTTAACTTTGCAATTTTGACACGATTTGGTCCTCCATCTAATTGACCGTTTGTTGACCGTGATGAACGATCTCCAAAAGAACCTTCAACTCTCGTCGACAATGGATTCAAATGTAACAGTGCAGTCTGGAAATGCAACCGGAACCTTAAAAAACCAACGATGGACCATGAAATTACATATATATCATCAAAAATCACAGTAAAAAAACTGTCAAATAAACAGAGGACCAAATTGTGTTAAAATTACAAAGTTAAGGACTTAATTGGTTGAAATTAAAAGTCGATGACCAATTTGTGAATTTAGCTATAGTCGAGAGACCATTTTGGGTATTTACTCATTTCAAAATGACCATTCACAAAGTCATTTCATTTTCCCAACATTAACTTAGAGCTAAAACTTCAAGTTTGGTTTCAACTAATAATTAACGGCACGAATTAATTATATCTATATTTTATAGGAGTAATGCTACATATTCCCCTTAAAAATTTCTATATTCTAAGACGGCATTATATAATTGGAATGTTTAGTATTTGATTTAAAATATGTAGAGTGAACCAATTAATGACACCTAATAAATATAAGTCACTTGAGGAAAAATATTAAGAAAAACTTTTGAACGGATTATGCTAATAAAAGTTAGTTCATATAAAATGAGTCAAATAACTTAGCATTTATTTATTTTTAATGATTGGGGAATCAATTACTATTCGAGAATGGGCATGGATAAATTTCATTTTTATGTAAAAGTCAACAAATCACATACAAAAGTTGAATCACACTAAGAATACCATGTATGATGGGTTCAATTAAAAGAATATTTACAAAAATTATACTCGTAACATTCTAATACGAGAATTATGTTCTATCCGCTCACTCAACCATGTTGTGGATTCTTATTTTTAAATTTTTATCAACAACCTTGCATTTTTTTTTTAGTGTAAATCACAATGTGGTCCGAATCTTTCTCCGTCCATTTAACGGTCTAGGTCCACCCAGTTCGCTTCGAGGGGCACATATCAACAACCTTGTTGACATTTATGTAGTGGGTGTTTTTGTACAATCACCACTGATAACCAAATATTTTATTGAGTTCTACTACATGGACTCTCAAATTCTACTTCCTCAGGTGTCAAACCAGAATTGGTTATTTTTATCGTCCATAGGAAAATGTCTACATTAAGAACATGTGAAAAAAAGTACAAGTTGAGAGTATAAAATGGAAATTATTTTCCTATTTTATTAATCAAATGGATTAAGACTTAGTAGATATAAGCTGAGTCAACATCCTTGATGACCACCACTGATTCCAAGTTGGCAATAATTGGTCAAACTGTCATCTTTGACAAATCTCTCATTTCCTCTACAGGAACCATCATAGGAAACAACAATCACATCTCTCAATATATTCAAGCTTATCCTTTCAAAAAAATATATATATATATATATTCAAGCTTATGCTAGGGCTAGACTGCTCGTTCTAATATTGGTTTTATTTGTTGGTTGAATTGGATTCTGTTCCTTTTTGTATTGTTTCAATAATTTAATATAATTGCTGAGTTTTTCTTTAAAAAAAAAAAAAGAAAAGAAGAGTCAAATCCTTTTTTTTTTTTTAAATGAGTCAAATAACTTAGCATTTATTTATTTTTAATGATTAGGGAATCCGACATTACTATCAGAATGTACATGGATAAAGCTCATTTTGTATGTAAAAGTCAACGGATCACATACAAAAGTTAAATCACACTAAGAATATCATGTGCGATGGATTCAATTGAAAGAATATTTACAAAAATTATACTCCTAACATTCTAATACGAGAATTATGTTCTACCTACTCACCGGTCATGTTGTGGATTATTATTTTTAGGAATAAGGGTCAAATAGGCCACTCAACTGCACACTAAACTACAATTAGGCCATCAAACTCAAAAACAATACAATTGGGTCCCTCAACAACACAAAATCATGCAATTATGTCCAAAATAACCTGTTTACCTGGAAGAGCAGGTTATCGATTTTAAAAATAATTAATTAAAATAAAATAATTAATTAAAATTAAAATTTAAAAAAAAAAAAAAAAAACAAACTAATCTACTGATTCGTCTCCATGGCCGGAACCTACGTCTCCAGCCATGGAGACGAAGGGAGAAACTCCATGGCCGGTGGTCTCCGGCCATATGGAGACGAAACTCCAACTCCATGGCTGGTGTTCTCCAGCCATATGGAGACGAAACTCCAACTCCATGGCTGGTGTTCTCCGGCCATGGAGTTTCTCCCTTCGTCTCCATGGTTGGAGACGTAGGTTCCGGCCATGGCGACGAATCAGTAGATTAGTTTTTTTTTTTTTATTTAATTTAAATTTTAATTAATTATTTTATTTTAAATTATTTTTAAAATCGGTAACCTGCTCCAGATAAAACAGGTCATTTTGGACCTAATTACATTATTTTGTGTTGTTTAGGGATACAATTGCATTTTTGTTGAGTTCGATGGCCTAATTGTAATTTAATGTACAATTGAGTGGCCTATTTGACCCTTATTCCTTATTTTAAAATTTTTATCAACAACCTTGTTGACATTTATGTAGTGAGTGTTTTTGTAGGATCACTACTGATAACCCAATATTTTATTAATCAAATGGATTAAGACTTTGTAGATATGTAAGCTGAGTCAACATCCAAGTTGGCAATAATTGGTCAAACTGTCATCATTGACAAATCTCTCATTTCCTCTGCAGGAACCATCGCAGGAAACAACAATCACATCTCTCAATATACTCAACCTCAAACCACCTTAAAACCAAATCCCAGAAAAGAAAAGAAAAGAAAAGAAAAAACAATCACATCCCAGATTTCATATATTGTTGTTCTTCATCTCCAGGAAATGTTGTCGCCAAAGCTTTTCTTTGCAGCCATCTTCCTGCTAGCACTGTTCTGTCCTAAAACCGCCTCCAGAACCTTAAGCAATCCGCCCTGTGCTCCATCTTCTTGCGGCGATCTTCGTAACATAAGCTTCCCGTTTCGACTCAACACCGATCCCCAGAACTGCGGCGACTCGAGATTCGTACTGGAATGTCGGAACAATCAGGCCACCTTAACGTTGACCCAGAAGAAGTACAATGTTCTTGCAATCGATTATTCCGACTACACGATCAGAGTGGTGGATCCCGGCTTACAAGACCAAGTTAATCACCACAACTGTACTTCTTTTCCCAAATACGTCGACACCAGTAGTTATATTGATGATACTCGGACGTTCAGCACCACCGGAGCTACCATTCCGATCATCTACGTCACCTGTTCGTCATCCCTGAGTTCTCTGGACAAATACGTTCCGACCACTTTCTGTGCGAAGCCCAGAAACAATAGCTATGTCGCGATCGGAGACAGCATGTCGATACAGGATGTGGCGGAGGGTTGCAGCGTTGAAATGGTGGGTTGGGGCTCCGTTCACGGGCTCTCGCCGGCGGGAAACGCTTCCCTGTCCAGCATCCACGCCGCCATGAGTTACGGCGTCGAGGTTTCGTGGATGCGTCCGTATTTGTGTAGAGATTGTGAGCAGAGTGGAGGCCACTGCTTCTTTGATGATCCTCTCGATCCTTACGCTGTTACTTGTAGCCACCGCTGTTATGATGATACAGGATTCGATCTCCCTCTTCCTTGTGAGTACTCTACGATTCTGCATTTTCTTTGAAAATTTTCCCTTTTTTTTTCCCATCATTTCACCCTTCTTCATATTCAACTTCTCCAGTTTTCTGACGCCTGTTCTTCTTTGCTATTGCAGGCAGCATCCATTACTATGGAGGTATGTGTTAAATGTCCATGTTTCTTGCTAACAATTTTCTTTAATTGAATGAAATCTGTATTTCTGACAATCTTATTTTCCCCTCTCTTCTGCCTGTATTTTGACAGTTCTGGTGGTAATGTATGGCGTAATGGCAATAGGTAATGAATCAGAACATACTCTCAAACTCTCATTTTTACTTTTTTTTTTTTTTTTTCTTTTTGAGCAATGAAAAAAATCTGTCATCACTATTCAAGGGTGCTCACTGAGTAAATCTTTTGTGATCTTACTTCTTAGCGGGCAAGGACCAGTAAACCTAATAGGCGACTACCATTAAGAATTGAACTTGTAACCTTCTGGTTAACAATCTAACCAACTTGGCCGGTTCCCCTAAAATGCTGCCGTGTTTGGTAAAATGGCTGTTAGCTAATTGTGTTAATTAGAGAGTAGAATTAATTTCACTTTTGGTCCCACGACTTTTGATGTTCTATCACTTTTGGTGCACAACTTTAAAATTTTTTAATTTTGGTGCCTAACTTTGTTATTTTTATCAGTTTTGGTCCTTTCGGCCAAATTGACAGCGAAATGTTGTTGGATTTTATATTTTTAGGGGTAAAATTGTCATCCTAAGGAAGCATCTTCAATATCTAAACAAAATCACTTAAAATCATATCTATAGGTGTTTGATCGATGAGAATAATGGGGAAGACGGGCAGAAACCAGACAGATCTATGGGATTTATAGTTTCGACAATTGCCAAACTCTTTTTTTCCTTTTAATATGATTTTTCTTTTGTTTAAATATTGAAGATCTTTAAATTGGATGACGATTTTGTCCCTAAAATATAAAATTCGGAAATATTTTACCATCAATTTGGCTGGAAGGACCAAAACTGATAAAAATAACAAAATTAGGCACCAAAAGTGAAAAAATTTAAAGTTGTGCACCAAAAGTGATAAGAACTCAAAAGTCGTGGGACCAAAAGTGAAATTAATTCTTAGAGAGTATAAATAGTTGATAACATTAGCTGATTGTAGAAAAGTGTTTGGTAAATTAGCTGTTAGTTGATAGCTGTTTGGTATAATTTCTTTTCTCAAAAAACTAATTAAAAAAGTTGATTGGAGTAGCTTTTTGAATTTTAGCCTTTTGGAGTTACAAAAAGCTAATTAACCAAACATTTATATTGATATTTTAACTAAATCAAACAATTAATAGTGGTCAAATGAGCCAAAATTGACATATAGGCCAATTTTTTTTACCAAACATGGCCTTAAAACTCTCATTTGATCATAGTGAAGAAGGTTTTCGGGTTTTGGTAGTGTTGGTTATTGACATTACTTTGTTTATCATTTTTGTTGAAATTACAGTAGCAATTTCTGGAATCAGACTTCTGTTTGGGATCATATTTTTGATTTCATTGGTCACTTATAAATGGAGGAGACGCCACTTATCAGCAGATGACACCATTGAGGATTTCCTCAACAGTCAGAACAAGCTCCTGCCAATCAATTACAGCTATGGTGAGATCAAGAAGATGGCTAATGACTTCAAGGAGAAACTGGGAGAAGGAGCCAATGGAACAGTGTACAAAGGGAAGCTGAGGAGTGGCCCTTTTGTGGCAGTTAAAATGATGGAGAAAAGCCTGGCAACAGGGAAAGAGTTCATCAGTGAAGTTGCCACAATTGGCAGGATCCACCATGTCAATGTGGTGCACCTCATCGGGTTTTGTGTCGAGGGGTCGAACCGCGCTCTGGTGTATGAGTTCATGCCGAACGGATCCCTAGACAAGTACGTATTCTCGGAAGACGGGATCCTCCCGTTGAGTTATAAACAAATGTTCGAAATCTCTCTTGGGGTGGCTCGGGGTATAGACTACCTACACCGAGGATGCGACAAACAGATCCTCCATTTTGACATCAAGCCTCACAATATTCTCCTCGATGAGCATTTCACCCCGAAAATCTCCGATTTCGGGCTCGCCAAGCTCTACCCAACCGACAACAGCATTGTGACCCTAACCGCAGCCCGGGGGACAGTGGGCTACATGGCACCGGAACTCTTCTACAAGAACATCGGCGGGGTGTCCTACAAGGCCGATGTTTATAGTTTCGGGATGTTGTTAATGGAAATGGCAAGCAAAAGGAGAAACATGAACCCCTTCACTAACGACAATAACCAGATTTACTTCCCAACATGGATTTATGATCAGATTATAGAAGGAAACGATGTAATAATGAGTGGAAATGGCAGTGAGGAAGAGAGGAAAGTGGTGAAGAAGATGATCGTTGTAGCTCTGTGGTGCATACAGATGAAGCCTGCAGATCGTCCCGCCATGAACAGAATCGTTGAAATGCTTGAAGGCGATGGCGATGAACTGGTGCAGATGCCTCCAAGGCCGTTTGTGGCTCCACGAGAGATGAATGGAGGTTCTATTGAGCTATCCATACTGCCTGATGGCTCTAGTCTCAGATAAAATTAAGGAATCAAAATCGTCATTTTGTACAAGAAAAAACAAAACCTTTAACTTGTAAAAAATTAAAGTATAATAATGTTCACATCAAAATTATTAACTCATGAGATTGTTTTTTTTTTTTTTTTTTTTTTTTTTTTTTTTTTTTTTTTGTGATAGGTGGCTATATTACAATGTAATATTTATTCATACATATTGATGGATTAAATTAATTTGGGCATATATTGGGGAGATAATTCTTGTATTAATAATAGTGTTGTAGGAAGATTACAAGTGAATGTAATGATTGAATGATGTCCTAATCAAGACAATAATGAACCATTTATACTAAAACTTCCTCCTAACCGTCCCTATGAGAATAGGGCAGGCAGTTTGATCATGTTTGACCGCGTCTGCGCATGTAGCACACAAGGTCGAGGCCGCCCCTAGCCGATGCCAGCCCCACCTGAGGCCGCTCCTAGCTCGGGTCGTCTTCCCGTTCGCTTCCACTCAGGATCGATTTTTAGATTTTCGTGGCTCCATTCTTGTAAATAAATGAGGCCCTACAAAAAAAAAAAATCAAGATTCAAACCTCTTATCTCCAAAATAGACACACGTTTCTATCATTCCTCCATGAAGTCTTTTAAGATTAATTACAACTTTTTTGTTTTTAATTTCTTAACTATAAAATTTGAGGCCATATACTATTGCACACAGTACAGCCCAAAATCTGGCCCAGCTTCCACTTCTCTCCGAATCAGGCTCCTCTCTAAGGCAAATTATGCTGTGCATCCGTATGCACCAAGCATGGTGCATACGGATGCAAAAACGACGTCGTTTTATAAAAACGCGCGTCTCCCCTTAAAAAAAAAATTAGGTTCGAAACTATAATTCCATAATCGATGAACTATAATTCCATAATCGATGAACTATAATTCCATAATCTAATCTATGAACTAAAATTTTCAGAATGAATGAACTAAAATTCCAGAATCTATGAACTAAAATTTCATAATCGATGAACTATAATTCCAGAATCAATGAACTATAGTTCCATAATCGATGAACTATAATTCCATAATCCATGAACTAAAATTCCATAATGAATGAACAAAATAATGTTGTTACTAGGAATCGAACCTGAATTTTTTTTAAAAAGGGAGACGCGCGTTTTTAATAAAACGACGTCGTTTTTGCATCAGTATGCACCATGCATGGTGCATACAGATGCACAAGCATAACTATTCCCTCTCTAATATTTTCATCACATACTTTTGAACCTCTCATTTGAAAATTGAAAGAATCATAGTTGTGTGGCTCAAACACTTATATCTTTTGTCAATTCTTAAAAAAAAAAAAAAAAAAAAAAAAAAACTAGTTCCGTTTCTTAAGAAAGAAATGAGAAGCATTCATATGGTGTGGCATAGACCATGATAAGCCTATCTCTTCCCGCTCCCTCCAAACTCGCTTCTTCTCCATCGATCAAACCCAGAAGCATTTCTACCCAAAGCCCCGCTTCTGTTCATTATCAGAAAAGCACAGATTTTGAGACTCTCAAAGACCGTTTGATTCGCCAGGCAAATGGGGGGAACATCCGCCAAGCAATTTCGACGCTTGATCTCATTGCCCAGATGGGCTTCACCCCAGACCTCACCTCCTACACCGTCCTCCTCAAATCTTGCATCAGAAACCGAAGCTTTGAACTGGGCAAGTCAATCCACTCCAGACTCGCCGCTTCGCAGCTCGAACCGGACTCGATTGTTCTCAACTCACTGATAAGCTTGTATGCGAAATGTAGCGACTGGGAAACTGCAAAAGGAATTTTCGACGGAATGGGTGCGAGGAGAGACTTGGTTTCTTGGAGCGCTATGATTTCGTGTTATGCTCATTGTAATATGGAACTGGAAGCCGTTTCAACCTTCTTTCGAATGGTTGAGTTCGGAGAGTACCCGAATCAGTTCTGCTTCTCCGCTGCGATTAAAGCTTGCTGTAATGCAACGTACGCTTGGATTGGATTGGTAGTTTTTGGGTTTGTGATCAAAACCGCGTATTTTGATTCTGATGTTTGTGTTGGATGCGCATTGATTGATTTGTTTACCAAAGGATTTGGAGACTTAGAATCCGCGGAGAAAGTGTTCGACAAAATGCCTGAGAAAAACTCTGTTTCGTGGACGCTGATGATCACTAGGTTCTCTCAGTTGGGTAGTCCAAGAGATGCAATTGACCAGTTCGAGCAGATGCTATTGACCGGGTTCAGCCCCGATCGTTTTACTCTTAGTAGCGTTTTATCAGCTTGTGCTGAGGTGGGGTGGCTATCATTTGGGCAGCAGCTGCATTGTTGGGTGGTGAAATCTGGGTTGTCTAAGGATGTTTGTGTGGGATGCAGTTTGGTCAACATGTACTCTAAATGTGCTGCAGATGGATCCATGGACAATTCGAGGAAGGTTTTCGATCGAATGCCTGATCATAATGTTATGTCTTGGACTGCAGCCATCACTGGATATGTACAGACTGGGATTGATGACAGGGAAGCTATTGACTTGTATTGTAGGATGATAGAGGGCCAAGTGAAACCTAACCATTTTACGTTTTCTAGTCTTTTGAAGGCCTGTGGAAATCTTTCGTCTCCTGATATTGGTGAGCAGATTTATAATCATGCAGTGAAATCGGGTCATGCAGGTGTGAACTGTGTGGCGAATGCTTTGATTAGTATGTATGCTAAGTCCGGTAGGATGGAAGATGCCCGGAAAGCTTTTGAATTTCTGTTTGAAAAGAATTTGGTTTCTTACAATATAATCGTTGATGGCTATGCCAAGAATTCAGATTCCATGGAAGCTTTTGAAGTTTATAGCCAAACTGAAGAGTCTGGAGTTGGAGTTGATGCTTTCACCTTTGCTAGTCTTTTGAGTGCTGCTGCAAGTATCGGGGCAGTTGGTAAGGGGGAAGAAATTCATGCTCGGTTGCTAAAAACCGGGTTCCAGTCTAATCAATCTGTCTGCAATGCTTTGATCTCGATGTATTCCAGATGTGGTAACATCGAGGCTGCTCTTCGAGTTTTCAATGAAATGGAAAACCGGAACATAATATCTTGGACTGCAATCATAACAGGTTTCGCGAAACATGGTTTTGCCAAGACAGCTTTAGAGCTGTTCAGTCAGATGCTCAGGGCAGGCGTAAAACCAAATGAGGTCACCTATGTTGCTGTTCTATCAGCTTGCAGCCATGTCGGTTTGGTAGAAGCTGGATGGCAGCATTTCAAGTCGATGTCCAAAGAACACGGGATCAGTCCAAGGATGGAACATTACGCGTGTATGGTTGATCTGCTGGGAAGATCGGGCCATCTTGAAAAGGCGGTTCAGTTCATCAAATCAATGCCTTTCACTCCCGGTGCCCTTGTCTGGCGCACATTGCTTGGAGCTTGCCAGGTCCATGGAAACGTAGAGCTTGGAGAACACGCTGCCAAAATGATCCTCGAGCAGGAGCCAAACGACCCAGCAGCACACGTTCTGCTGTCCAACTTATACGCCTCCACTGGCAACTGGGGAGAAGTAGCGGAAATCAGGAAAGACATGAAAGAACGAAAACTGGTAAAGGAAGCCGGGTATAGCTGGATAGAAAGTGGGAACAGGATAAACAAGTTTTACGTAGGGGACACCAAGCACCCCCTGGCAAAGGAGATCTACCAAGAACTGGATCGACTGGCTGCGAAAATAAAGGCGTTAGGGTACACCCCGGACACGAACTTGGTGCTCCATGAAGTGGAGGAGGAGCAGAAGGAGCAATATCTGTTCCAGCACAGTGAGAAAATAGCAGTGGCGTTTGGCCTGATCAGCACATCCAAACCAAAACCCATTCGCATATTCAAGAACCTGAGAGTATGCAGGGATTGCCACACTGCCATCAAGTACATATCAGTTGCTACTGGGAGAGAAATAGTGGTCAGAGATTCCAATAGATTTCACCATATCAAAGATGGAGCTTGCTCCTGCAACGACTACTGGTAATTACTTCTCCTCCAAAAGGTTGAATCCAGCTCGACAGAATATTTGGGAAGATATAAATGAATAATGAATATTCAAAAATTTACAAGATCACATACGCTCACTGGACCGGCTCTAGCTGCTCCCAGTTCATTGAACCGCTCCTTCTTCATCAGCGGCTCCCATCCTTCCCCCAGTTCGTGGCCCACCTGCAACTCTGCGCGTAGTTATCTTCATTATTTAGATTCTCCATGCTTTAAGGCACAGCATTCTGGAATTTGGGGCAGTCTTGCTCATCTATGTTTCCTGAATATATTTTTTTAAATATAATTTACTGATAGTAATTTTTAAAATGCTTGACATTTAATGTATATACGTTGGATAATATAACTATTAGTTTAGACTTTTAATTCAGACGAATTTACTAATATAGAGGAGTTAATACCCAAAATGGTCCCTCGACTATGTCATAATTATCAATTTGGTCCTCAACTACCATTCTTACCCAATTAAGTCCTCAGCTATGTAACTTTTACTCAATTAAGTCCTCAACTATACAATTCTTACCCAATTTAGTTCTCAACTATACAATTCTTACCCAATTTAGTCCTCTGTATTAATTTGACTGTTTGTTGACTGTCAAAAGTCGGGATAAAATTATAATTTTACAAGATTTCTCCTTCCTCTCCATTTAGCAGCGCCAAACCATGCAGCAATACACTCCGATCAGATTTCGATCGTCAAAAAATCATTGGAAATCAAATTCATGGGCTATCCGATGCATAACCACTACTTCGATACTGACAGGTTTAGAACCCAACCGGAGCTTATTGCTACATGATTTGGCGCTGCTAAATGAGGAGGAAGGAGAAAACTTGTAAAATTACAACTTTATTTCCACTTTTGACAGTCAACAAACAGTCAAATTGACAAAGGACTAAATTAGGTAAAAATTGTATAGTTGAGGACTTAATTGGGTAAGAATGATAGTCGATGACCAAATTGGTAATTACGACATAGTCGATGGACTATTTTGGGTATTAACTCAATATAGAGTATAATATATTCATATTTATAATAAGATTAGATATTCCAAACCAGAGTTATT